TAAGTTACAGTATAAACTTTGAAATTAAAATTACATAATTATGTATCATATGACAGCTAAGTTATAATACAATCAGTATATCGCACATGATAACGGTCAGGTTGTTAACTTAATGCTAATTAGTCACTCGAAACTTAAGTAATTAGCTTTCATTTTTTTATTCCTTTGGTTGAACTTGACTACAAATATACGGTTTGGTGGATAAGGCCGATATAAGAGAAAGATGTGTCTTTGTGTGGTCCCAGTCGGATCGGTGCAAATTTTTCTTTGCAAGCTGTATATAAATTACTCTTTTCCGTAAAATTCTGTCAAATTATTTCTAACCCAATTTTAAAATGAGGTTTAAGTATTTCTAATCCAATATTGTATGTTATTTCAATATACAGTTTAGAGTTGGCCAGTTGGGGGTATCTACACTCCATTCCAAGACCCTATCTAATCTCCGTCTGTATGTCTGTCTGTCTGTCCGTCTATCGCTCTCTCTCTCTCTATCAGATAAATCCCAAAAAAACTTCCCACCCACTTGCTTTGCACCACCTGTCCCAACTCCCTAACGTTTCTTAAAAGTCAATAACGCAAAAGGGTAATACTGTCAAACTCAAAGGCATAAAAGGAAGGCCTGTGGACACCGGCGCCACAACCACCTTCGAGAATTGTTTCTGACATGCTTTGGAATGTTATGAATTTCCGTATTGTATTCTTCTTTAGGCGAAGCCTGTATCTACTGTTTTTGACATGCTTTGTATCTACTGTTGAAAAATACAAATAAAATATAATTCCGCTATAAATAACACACCTTTGGTCTACACTTCAACATCCAAAACACCCCTCATCTCTCTCTCTCTCTCTCTCTCTCTCTCTCTAAATGACACGAAAAACAAAGACCAATAATTATGTATCATATGATAACTAAGTTACAATACAATCAATATAGCGCACATGATGACAAATAGGGTGTTTGAAGCTTTTGAACAAACCCCACTAAAAATGATCAATTAAGTAGTTAACTTAATGCTAACTAGTCACTCGAAACTTAAGTAATTAGCTTTCGTTTTTTTATTCATTGTCCAAATTTCAGACAGAAAATCACTAATAAAGTAAACAAAGTAAAAAGTGCAATACTGCAGTGAAGACATAAATGAAGGTCTCTCCTCTGAACGGAAAACAGTGGCCTTATATTGTGTTCCGGAATGTCAAAATTTTCATCAATATCGCTGTCGACGCCGTATATATCATAAAATTATAAAAGAAAAAGAGAAAAAGGGCCAAAAAAGAAAGAAAGAAGATAAGCTATGGAGCTTAGGGCACCACGTCCCACTGCTGAGCTAAGCACACAACCCACCACCAGTTGCCTATAAAAAAGACCTCCTCTGCCGGTCCTCAAAAAACCCACTTCGCCATCTTAACCTTTACTCTTCACTTTCAACTCTCTCTCTCTGTGCAAACTCACAGATCTACTAGATACGGCGGGTATGACGTATTTTCTGAAAAAACCCTTGAAAATGAGCCCCAACTCTCGTAAAAATTTAGTCCACTTCCACCTAAAAGAAGTCCGTGGGCTGCGGCCTGACCACCCATTCAATCGAGCCTCACCAAATCGCTGTTTGAGGCCACCCAGACTCTACTCGGCAGCTGTCGACGGAACCTGGAGTACTAGCTTGTGCCCAGAAAAGGTCTTCGTCACTAGCATCCCTCTTCTGACTGGGCCCACTCCAGAAGACGCGGAAGCTGCAGTCCACCAATTCAAATTGAATTTGGCCCTGAACAGTAGCAGCAGCCACCACAAGTTCTGTTTCCTCGGAAACGGGCCCGCTGCCGACGACGGTGGCCAGAATTACTTGGATCCCGCACCAAACAGAGGATCCAATTACATCCCGGATCTCAACGTATCGCCGCCGAATGAGACGGCGCCGACGACGGATTTCGTCGGAGAAATCAGGAGCCAGAACATCTCCCGGTTCACTGATCACGTGGTGTGTTGCCTGGGCTGGAGTGATGAAGAGGTGGCGGAGTACAAGAAGATTCTGAGCAGCATAAGTGAAGCCGAAATCGGAAACCTGGATTCGATTCAGATCTGGAATGAGCTCACCCTGGGAGCCGAAATTCTGAAGACGCTCGTAATGAAAGGCCTCGTCGAGGCCCCAATGCGCTTCGACGATCTTCAGTTGCCGCCGCCGGAGGAGCTGCTTCCAATACCGGAAAAAGGCAGGAAGGCCGCCGAGAAGGCCCGGTATTGTGGAGTTGGTGGTATCGATGAGCCCAAGTCTCGCGACTCTGACTCTTCAGACTGATGACCAATTCCAGGAGAAAAAGTAGTATGTTCATACAGTCGGTGATAGGGAAGTTTTTCTCCTGATAAATGCCCAGGCGTTTTCGCGTATAGCTTTGTTGGTTGTGTTGTTATTATTAGAGTTGCTTCTGTTTGGTTGGGATAAGGTTGACCCAAATCCTTGGCTCTTGGCTGTTTGGTTCTGTTTGGTTGGTACTTGGTAGTATAAACTACAAAGATTGCGTCGCGCCCCACTAAGAATGGAAAATTATCATATTATTATTTATGCAAATTACCTTGTTATAATATAAAAGTAAAACACAAGTCCAAGTAAAACGGTTGCGTTGCGAACCATACAAATTGCCAAGTCCAAGTAAATAGTGTGAATGTGCAAATAAAAAACACAAAGATAATCCTTCTGTTTTAATCTATTTATTTATTTATTATCAAAACATCATAGCACTCGTGGTGAACAAATTTTCATAATTAAATTAACAGCAGCAAAAAAATATACGATTAAATAGAAAATATAAGAGCATCACTTGATTTATTATAGTAATAAGGGGCCAACTTGGACATTTGGAGCTTCATAAAATGACACACTACCTACCATTCCACTGAAATTGCGTTTGAGATTGAAAATGACATGGAAAAACCAAGGCATATGGTGTGATTGGTCAATTGTAGTAGGCAAATATTATTTCAAGTTTCATCCATTATCGGCAAGTTGGGTTGCTGAAGGCTCACCGCGTCAATGACCGTACAAGGGTCAGGGTTGCTGAAGGCTTTGCCCTACCAATTGTCGTTTTATAAGTCTCACTGCTTTGATCGGGCTTTATGGGTTTCCTTGTAGGTCTTATTATGTTCCATGTGTCGCAGAATGATTGGTCAATCATATATCGTATAAACAGTGATAATTTAATATAATATTATTCATCAAATGAATGTTTATTTTGCGTGTGAACGGGCTGCAAATCATCCCCTCGAGGATCCAAGGGTTCAAACTTTTGCTCTCCTTTTTTTCTTGAGATATTTAGTTATATATTCATTTTTAGCACTAAAATTATAAATAAATTCCACATCATTTAATTCCTATAAACAAAAAAAAAAAAAACCCAAAAAATGACAGCTAGATCTGTTGAATTTAATTTTAACTATTAAATTATTTTGGGCTTTTTTTTTACGAGGTTTTTGGGTTGGGTTTGTTTTAAGAAATCAATGATAGTTTTGTAATTTAAAATAAGTTAAAAGTCTTTTTGTTATGTTGTAAAGGGCTTTGGGTGTGTTTCTAAAGTCAATTTCATATATGTTTTTTTTATTATTTATAATTTGGGCTCCTATATTAGATATAATAGTGAATCTCCCTCCAATTGAGATTGAGCTTTTTGAACGATTGATTGCGGGTGTGTTCGGCTTCAGGTTGAGCTTGTTCTAAAGGTGATAGAACAAAATTGCCACGTCAAATGCTACTTGAGGTTTGTTTATGTATTTTTTTGGGATTGATTTGCATTAATTGTTTTTGCTAGTCTAAAGTTGTACTAGATTTATGAATCTTATCATCATCATCATATTTGATGGAGCTGGGATATTGCGGCTAATCCAAAACACGATCTCTAGCGTAAATCTCGGAAGTTGTGTAGAGACACGGCAGTGCTACGGCTCGGGTGCTTGTATCACATCCTTCCTATTTCATGGTTCCGGTTCTCTCGGCTTTTGATGGATTTGAGGGTTTTGGTTATGGTGGTGGATCTATGGCTGATAAGCTTATCTTTTGTTTGTTGTTCAATTGGGCATTTTGCTGTTTTTATTTCAATTTGTGTTGTATGTTTTAACTTTTGTTTATCTGATGGTATCAACATCTGGGACAATCTTGGTGTTCTTGTTCATGTGATATCACAGATTAGTTATTCTGTTGTACTTCCTTACTGGATTGCTAGTGTTGTAATTCTAGGCTCTCCCGTTTTGGGTGAGGTTCTTGTTTTATTAAATATCAACTTTCGACCAAAAAATCATCATCATCATATCATGATGACTTTGACAAATACTTGCTACCATGGATGCTGACCTGAATTTGATTATCAAACATGCAGATACATTATTATGTATCATTTGCTTTGATTTGGTTTGGTTCCTCTTAAAGCTGTTGATTGTTGGGAAGAATAAGACGGTTGTGTCCCCTTTTCCATTTTCAAAGCCACAGAAGAGTACAAATTTATAATCATTCTTCATTTCACATCTACCCTTCTTCTTTCTTTCTCTAATAGTGTTTTTTTATTTTAAGACGATAAAAATATTTATCAACAACATTTTGTGTTTAATATTTTCCTAATTCATTGGTTAATATTTTCCTAGTTTATTGGTTGTATCGGATAAAAGGAGATGACTTTCTAAAAGTTATGACATGAAAGTGCTTCAACTAAAATCCTGACCTGGAATTCCTTTTTTGTTTTCTTTCTAGAACCCATGAACCATGCTAGATGCCATATCGGTGGACTTGTGTTCAATAATACAATTCCTCACTCTTCTAATTTACTTGCTTAAGCTCCAATTTTTTTTTTCAATCAAATTAATATCCATCTACTTTCTAATTTGAATTTTCTTTTTTCCTTCGACAAAGCTGCAAATAACGATTTGATTGAACCTTTTCTGCCTACTGAAATATATTATATCAAATGCCATTCCAAATATATATAAAAAAATGGAGGGAGGGAGAGCAGAGGTGGGCCCACGTCTTTCTTTCTTTTCTCTTTGATCGGGACAGGAAACAAAGGTTGATTCTCTTTCTACAGATACAAAGCCTCCAATCCCACCACCACCACCACCGTCTTCCTTTTCCAAAACCCCAAACTCCAAACCCAACAAAAATTCAACAATGATGTCGACCTCTCCGAATCCAGACGCCTCTGTTTTTGCAAGCATAATGGAACTTCACTTCAAAGAGCTCGATCTCATCCCGGACCAGATTCTCCTCAACAAAGAAAAAATGCTTCCCATACTGGAAAACTGCTTGTCACACTCTTGCCTTGAAGAGGGTCTTGCAGAACAAATTGCTGTCGATAAAAGCAATTCAGCCCATCGGTTCATCAAAATTGTGCATCGCTACCTGCATGAAGCTGGCAAGGAGAAACAAGCTGAAAAGTACCAGCAAAAGGTGAGCACTGCATCTCGGGTCGAACAGTTGGAGTCCATCAAGATCTGGAATTTCTTTACTCCGCCACCCCATGTGTTCAAGGTAATGGAAGATATGGGATTAGGCTCAAATCCTTCGAGTTTCTTCGGGCCTCCAGCACCAACTGAGGTTTTTCCCATTCCGGCCCCGGGCTGGAGGCCCGGCCAGGCTACTGCCAACGGTAACATTCCGGTACCTTGCCTTAGAGGCCTAATTGACAGTTTGGTAAATAATTTGGAGTTTTACTTTTACACCAAGCCTTTTCAGTTTTTTGTAAAATATTGGGGGTTTACTTTCACTGTAAGAACTTTGTTGATTTGAGTTTACTTGGGTAATGAGAAAAATTTGTCTGTATAAACGTACATGCTTAGACAATAATTACGTTCATATATATGTTTTAGCATCGAGTAACAGAGCATGACAGAGATATAACAGAGCATTGAGTAAACTGTGGCCAAAAGCATGATTTCTATCTTTGGAGTTATGATGTGGAGTGCCCGTTCTTTGTAATTCTTTATATATAGTAAAAAGACCGTTTATTCTGTAAAATAGAGGTAGATTAATTGTGCTGAATGAAATTCTTACGTTTGTGGTCTATTTTGTTGTTGAATAATGAATACCTATGTTTCAATCTTGCTTCAGAATGAGGCTGACATTGTTCCTGAGACCGAGGACAGCCCTTCAACAACCGTGGAGCCTAACCCTGTTGGACTAGTTCTTCACGTTGGTGAGGTTACAGACCGGTCTATGATGGATGCTGCAGCTGAAGATGAGAAGAAGAAGGGGGTGATGGAAGTGGAGTCTCCTCTGACTAAGACTAAGCATCACCCAGTTATCCTGTTTTCTTTCTTTTTACTTTGAAGACTACAATCATCCTGGTTTTGCTCTTGCAATGATTCGATATATTCTTGCAGTATGTATTGGGATCTTGGTTATGAGCCATGGCTTCCTGCAATCCTTTTGCATATGTACTTGCTGCACGGGATATGCAACCTTGTTTATGTTTGGACATCTTTTTAACATTGGTTGATCCTGTTATGAACGCTGCTTTGATATAAACTGACTACCCGCTACTTGCACAATTGCACTCTGTTTGGTACCTAAGAATGCAATATAAATTTCAGTGAGAACCAAGATTCACTATAAATTCTAGGAAGCATGATAAGCCCCAAACTACTGCATGTACCCCATGTATAGTCATCGGCTGCTTGATTCATGAAGTCCTTGAGTGTTATTGATTTCTGCATTCGAACATGGATGTATAATTCACACATCTGTATTATAATGATGACATGATACATGTTTAGTTCTGTTTTCCCAGCATGATAATCAATCCTATATATATATATATATATATATATATATATATATTTCTCTATATATATATATATATATATATATATATATATATATATATATATATATATATATATATATATATATATATATATATATATATATATATATATATATATATATATATATATATATATATATATATATATATGTTGCTCTGTAAGATTGTTTCCATTATCTCCTGAAATTGTCCTTACAAACTGGTTCTAAGCACAAATGTTACCGTCATGTGTTACTATGACTATAACATTAGATCCAATTCTATAGGAATCTAGTGCTGGTACTCTTGAATCTTTGCATGATCTTTTTATTCCATGCTATAGTTGCATGTATGTATGGCATGCAAATCACTATTATGTATCCATTTGTGAAAACAGATTAAGCTACAAGGTAACAATTTCCTTCCCTGATGGAATTTCTCACAACACCAAGCATGTTTCCTAGGTTAGAAAGGTAGCAACCAGATTCGTCCTTTTAGAACAAGTTGCAAGATTTCCTGCTCGTTTTTAAAACCCAGAAAATCCCCTTCCTATAGCATATCGAGTCTATTTTTGTAGAATCTTTAAAAATGCCATGGTTTTACACTGGTATTGGTTTATCTGGTATAAACCCATATTAAAGATACTGATTCGTATGAATCTTGCAGCTTAATATGTTGCAAATCGCCATATTTTATCATTTGCCTCGTTACTTTTGGAAAGTAGAATGTCCACCATTCCAAAAGACAAATGCATGCCCGACACCCAACTCCTCTTTAGTTTAGTACACAGTAAAGACACTTTTGTTTACGTCTCAAACCCAAACACCCACGAACACAAGTACTTGCTTGTGTGGCCCCATATTCTATTACCCTGAAAATAAAGAAAAGCTCTCAAGACAATTTGGGAAAACCCTTTTCCTGTCAGCTCACAAGGCAGTGACAGAAGCCAATGTTAGCAAATACTAGGGAATATGTATAGCCTATTTGGAAAGGGGGACAAAGCACATATTCTGTAATGAAAAAAAGGTTCTTTGCCTCTTTTGATATCATATAGTTTTTCATTGAATAAAGCAAAATTCATTCCCAAAATAAGAAATCTAGACCCTACATCCATAATTTCTTTGCTAACTATATTCATGAATGTAAGAATATCCATCATAAGATTAATCATTTGAAACTTAAAACAAATTTTTCCATCAAGATTGAGTGATTGCAGAACTTGCACATTAATATTGAATCTGCATTACTGTGAACAGTTATGAAGAACCACCGAGTCTCTCAGATGATATCTGCAAACCATTAAAAGCCCAATAGTTTTACGCCATTGCTAAAACAGAATCAAGTAAAATTCAACAGCATTGTCAGATTCAAATTGCCATGAATTTAATTCCATATTCATAGTTCCATACGGAACAACATTTGTGGAGGGTACGGCGTTCGAATGAGTTTCAGAAAACAAAATTTCTTTAGGGATTATATCTAAAGGGGGCATTTCCGTGGTTTTCCAAAGTACAATGGGCAAAATTGAAATTTCAGAATCTTTGAGCTTCATTTTCGACTTTTTAGAAAAGTCATTATTTTTTAGAACAACCACCACGATCATTGAGTTATTATTGGTCCACTGGGTCTTTTATTTGCATTTGGTTACCTTGGAATTATAAGTGATTCTTGGTGTTGTTCTTGTTAGATATGTAAATTTGGAACTTTTCAAGAATTATGTGTGGCTTGATCCTTCGAGAATAGTATGTATGTGCAGCTGCAAAGTTTAACACTTTACGTTATGTTCTTTTACATCAGGAATAGTTGCTGTGATTTGATTATGTGGTATTTTGGATTGAGGGTCTGAGACCCACTTTGGATTGATTATTGGTTATGGTTGTGAAAAAGGGGCCTGAAGGCCATTAGAATTGTTGCTAGGATGTAGTTGACTTATATCTTATGTTTGCTGAACGATTGGTGGTAAATTGTGTTTTCTGTGCAGGGTTTAGAGCCATTTTAAAAGGAGACTTTACCCTTTTTTCCAGTTGAAGTCCAACCCTAAGGTTGTTTTGGAATTATGACAAGAATGCCATTTTAGTAATTTAGACCAACACCTGCAAGTTGTCGGACAGACACAAGGTTCATTGCGGATTCCAAAGAGAAATTTGGGATGAATCCTGTCAATGATAATTTGAATTATTTTGTTAAATTTTCAACAAAGTCCCATCCCAAGTTATTAGGGCGCATTTTCAAATTTTGGAGAGCTAGCTAGACTGGTTTTCCATAGACAATGCATGCATCACAGAGAGTGAGAGACCAACGTTTGTGCTATGTTATTGATGTTGAGCTTTGGTGTTTGCTTCTTTAACCTTGGTGATGTGTCAAAATGCGCTTAGAAGCAGGAAGGTTTGGGAGTTTATTTTTTTAGTTTTGACGAGCCGATATCCTTGACTTTCTAACCTAATAAACTCTCTCCCGTCTATATATCTCATGTGAATGCTGAGTGAAGTCAATTCATGCCGAGTCAAATCGATTTGTGTAATAGGTGAAAAAAAGAAGAAGATTCCCTTCGCTTTTCCGTTTGACATGGATGCAATGCATATATAATTTGATCAACAAAACAAAATATTTCATTTTCTAGCGGATCGCCCTCTCTTCAACCAAAGTGAAGGTCCACGACAAAATAATTAGCCAAAACAAAATAGTAAAGAGACTGTTTCCTTCGTAAAATAAACGTAGTTAAGATTAATTGTATGAAATTCTTATGTATGTTGTTGAAAGATGAATACCTATGTTTCAATCTTGCTTCAGGATGAGACTGGCATTGTGCCTGAGACCGAGGACAGACCTTTAACAGCCGTGGAGCCTAACTCTGTTGGACTAGTTCTTCACGTTGGTGAGGTTACAGACCAGTCTATGATGGATGCTGCAGCTGAAGACAAGAAGAAGAAGGGGGTGATGGAAGTGGAGTCTCCTCTGGCACAGACTGAGCATTACACAATTATCCTGTTTTCTTTCTTTTTTCTTTGAAGACTACAATTGTCCTGGTTTTAATCTGGTTTGTTAATTTCAGATTTCTTACCGTATTTGTGGCATTAGAACGGTTCGATATACACTTGCGGTATATGTTAGGAGCTCAGTTTTGAGCCATGACTTCATGCATTCCTTTTGCATCTGTACTTGCTGCAAGGGATATGCATCCTTGTTTATGTTTGGACGTCTTTTTAGGATTGGCTGATCCTGATATGAATGCTGCCTTGATATAAACTGATGACCCGCCACTTGCACAATTGCACTCTGTTTAGTAACTGAGAATGCATTATAAATTTCAGTGAGAACCAAGATTTAATATAAATGCTAGGAAGCATGATAAGTCCCAAACTAGTGCATGTACCTTATATATAGTCATTGGCTGCTTGATTCATGAAGTCCTTGGGTGTTATTGAATTCTGCATTCGAATATGGATGTATAATTCACACATATGTATTATAATGACAACACGATACAAGTTTAGTTCTGTTTTCTCAGCATGATAATCAATCCTCTATATATATGTTGCCCTGTAAGATTGTTCCCATTATCACCTGAAATTGTCCTTACAAACTGGTTCTAAGCACAAATGTTACCGTTATGTGTTTCTATGACTACAACATTAGATCCAATTCTATAGGAATATAGTGCTGGTACTGTTGAATCTTTGCATCATCCATGCTATAGTTGCATGTATGTATGGCATGCAAATCACTAATATGTATCTATTTGTGAAAACAGATTAAGCTACAAGGTAACAAGTTCCTTCCCTGATGGAATTTCTTACAACACCAAGCATATTTCCTAGGTTAGAAGGGTAGCAACCAGATTTATCCTCTTAGAACAAGCTGCAAGACTTCCTATATTTGACTGCTCATATATCAACCATACATTGTTGTTAACTGAAACCTTCCTTTAGCATATTCCCTGCTCGTTTTTAAACCCAGAAATCCCCATTCCTATAGCATATTGAGTCTATTTCAGAGATGGGATGAAGTTGAAAGGTGCCTCTAGCTCACTAAATTGAACTTTCCTATAGCATATCAAGTCTATTTTTGGCAGAATCTGGAAAAATTCCATGGTTTTACACTGGTATAAAACCAGATTAAAGTTACTGATTCGTATGAATCTTGCAGCATAATCTGTACATACAAAGTACAACTGCTTATCAATATGCCACACAAATGTTCCAAATCGCCATATTTTATCATTTGCCTCGTTACTTTTGGAAAGTAGAATATCTACCATTCCAAAATACAAATGTATGCCCGACACCCAAATCCTCTTTAGTTTAGTACAGAGTTATGTCTCTGAGTCTCAAACCCAAACACCCACGAACACAAGTACTTGCTTGTGTGGCCGTGACAGAAGCCAATGTTAGCAAATACCAGGGAATATATATAGCCTATTTGGAAAGGGAATATATATATAGGCAATGTTAGCAAATACTAGGGAATATATGCCTATTTGGAAAGGGGGACAAAGCACATTTCCCGTAATGAAAAGAAGGTTCTTTGCCTCTCTGATATCATATAGCTTTTCATTGAATAAAGCAAAATTCATGCCCAAAATAAGAAATCGAGACCCTACTTCCATAATTTCATTGCTTACTATATTCATAAATGTAAGATTATCCATCATAAGATTAAAATCTTTTGAAAATTTATTCCAACTTTTTCTATCAAGATTGAGTAATTGCAGAACTTACACTTTAATTGAATCTGCAGTACTGTGAACAGTTATGAAGAACCCCTGAGCCGCTCAGATGCTATCTGCAATGCAAACTATTCAACGCCCAAAAATTTCATGACATTGCTACACATAGAAGCAACTATCATCAGCCATAGGAGCTCTAAAGATCTTGCTTTGGGCTGGCTGTCTATAAGTCCCAGAACGTGAAGCTGGTGTCGAAAACCAATAGTACGCCAGCCATATTCATAGTTGCATCCGGAGCAACATTTGTGGACGTGGGGGGAGCGGCGTTTGAATGACTTTCAAAGAAACAAAATTTCTTTAGGGATTTATATATGAAGGGGGCATTTCCGTGGTTTTCCAAAGTACAATGGGCAAAATTGGAATTTCAGAATCTTTGAGCTTCATTTTCGTCTTTTTTGAAAAGTTATTAGAGCACTTCCATTCATTTGTTATGGCAAATGCAATGGGAGACAATGGTTGTTACTATTCATGTGAATAGTGGCAGCCCTTGCAAAAGGCTTGTGGTGTTTTCACTCATTGTCATGACAACAATTATTCACATGAGATATGATGAGAGAAATTTAAATCGAGTTTTGGTATGAGAAGTGAAAAATATGACTAAGTATTTATTTAAAAAAAATTCTGAAATTTGTAGTTTTTTTTTAAAGATTTTTTTTGTTGACGTCAACAAACCCAGGCTAGAGCAAGGGTTGATTTTGCCTGCGGGCTGGCCTGATTTCGTGGGACGCACAACTTGCCCTAGCAAGTTTGGCCTGCTGGAAGGCATCGCCTGGGCTTGGGCCCTATCCTGCCCTGGCTTGGGGCAACCAATGGAAATGCTTATATTTTCGAGAACAATCACCATGATCATTGAGTTATTATTGGTTCACTAGGTCTTTATTTGCATTTGGTTACCTTGGTATTATGAGTGATTCTTAGTGTTGTTCTCGTTAGATATGTAAATTTAGAACTTTTCAAGAATTATGTGTGGCTTGATGCCTCAAGAATGGTACGTAGGCAACTTAAGTCAACTTAGGTGCAGTCGCAAAGTTAAATACTTTACACTACGTTCTTTTGTGTCAGGAATAATTGCTATGATTTGATTATGTGGTATTTTGAATTGAGGATCAAAGACCTACTTTGGATTGATTATTGGTTATGGTTGTGAAAAAAGGGGCTAAGGCCCATTAGAATTGTTACTAGCGTGTAGTTGACTTATATCTTGTGCTTGTTGAACGATTAGGGAGTAAATTGTGTTTTCTGTGTAGGTGGATTCATTTTAAAGGGAGACTGTGCTATTTTTCCTGTAGAAGTCCAACTCTAAGGTTGTTTTGAAATTAGGGCAAGAAGGACATTTTAGTAATATAGGCCGACATCTGCTTGTTGTCGGACATACATAGGGTTCGTCACTTATTCCAAGGAAAAATTCGAGACAAGTCCTGTCAATAATAATTTGAACTATTTTGTAAAATTTTCAACAAAGTCTCATCCAAGTTATTAGGGCGCATTTTCAAATTTTGGAGAGCTAGCTAGACTGGTTTTCCATAGACAATGCATGCATCACAGAGAGTGAGGGACCAACGTTTGTGCTATGTTATTGATGTTGTGCTTTGGTGTTTGCTTCTTTAGCCTTGGTGATGTGTCAAAATACGCTTAGAAGTAGTGGTGGATCCATCCACCATGGGGTCAATTGAGTCAAATGACCCCATGCAGCCCTAGAAATGGTTTGGAGGTCCTTGGTTTTCTCTTGACAGCCATGGGAGACGACCCCATGAAGAAGAAGATGCAAGTTGCTAGAGAGAAGAGAGAGAGAGAGAGAGAGAGAGAGAGAGAGAGAGAGGCACCTGACACAAATTTTAAAAAACAAGGAAGATATTTGTTAGGGTTTTTTAAAATATTTTTTAAATTCTGTTGGGTGGACCTATAAATACTAAAAGTACACATCAATAGTATAAAGATATTACTTACCACAATCCCGATCTCTTGGACCACAAGAGTCCAAGAGATTGTGATCACCCATCGTTGGATATTAATCTAATGGTTCAAAAATATTTCTTAAAATAAGTGCAAGAGTGAGTGAACCGTTGAAATTACATCCAACGGTGAGTGACCACAAATCTCTTGAACCCCTGTAGTCCAAGAGATCAGAACTACTGTTACTTACCATAGTGTTCTTTAAATTGAAAAGGACCTTAAGGTCAATTGTTCAACACTCACTGTGCTTTTTTTTTTCTTTTTTTTTTTTGGTAATATTCAAGGTATTTTATTATTTGGGATATTTTTGGGTGAATTTATTTATTATTTGGATGAAATTTATGGTTTACATAATACATATATGAGCTTCATTTATTGAATGATGTTTTTGTTAATTGGAATAAGTTTGGTGTGTTTTTCAACAAAAAATATTTATTTGTTTCATCTTAATAAGAAAATCAAAACTTTAACACTATAATCCTATAAAGTAACAATCCTGCATCCACCACTGACCTTGCTTGGGTCGCAGGTTGTGGAGACAGATTCAAGCCCAAATTGGACTGAGGCCACGTAGAATATTCCCTTCCCCCATACGCCCAACACGACGTCACGTTAGGAGACCACGTCCACTTTCGCCTTGCCACACAAGTAATTCGTTGTATTTATATATGCTTTTCGTTTCGTTTATAATGTGATTGAATTCTTGATTGTCAACCAAAAGTTTTCATTCTTTGCATAACTAAGTTGATGAATTTAGTCCAAAATAGGCAACATAACAGTTAATTGATCCAAAGTCATAGCTGGGGTCAAAGTTAGACCAACTTGGTTCAACACTCTAGCTCAAAAAATGCAAACCTCTTTATTCGAAACTTCTATATTCCAGCAAATATGTTGGAATTAAGTGAGATATTTATTCTTTTAATTTAAGTTATAATACACACTTTTAAATTAAAATCTTATAATTAAGTATCATATGACGGCTAAGTCAGACTAAATCAGCATAGCACATGACCAACACTTTGTTTTGAAATTTTTCAACAAACTCCAATTGAAAATGATTAATTAAGGGTCTTTTTTATAACTATTTTAATTTTAGCTTTAGTTTTAGTTTTTTGTGCTAAAGTATAAAGGAAAAAGAGGGATAACGGAACTGAGAATAAGAGTGGAGATGAGATTGAGAGGGAAGATGAGAGAGGATAATGAAAGGAATGTGTAACAAAAATAAAAATAAAAACTGAAAATTAAAATCTATTTGATATTAAATTCACTTTCAAGTTTTTGTTTTTACTTTTGTTACTCTTCCCTCCCACCCTCCCACCGTCTATCTCAATTTCATCCCCACTTCCATTAACTCTCATTTACCTCTATATTTCAGCGCCAAAAAAATAAAAAAGGATTATCATAAGGAGAATTAACATAATGCTAATATTAAGTCACTGTCTCACTAGAAGCTAAGTCGGCTCAGCTGGGTCTACCACCACCCTCCATGCCACAAGCATATTATTTTACCTTAATTAATTATAATTAGCTTCCCTCTTTTTATTGATTTGGTTGTTTGACCCCTTCGCAGCTAGTTGTGTACGGTTTGATGGATAAGGCCGATAGAAAGATGATGTGTCCTTACGGTGGTGGTGGTCTCAATCGGGTCACCCAATTTGAGATTAAGTATTTCTAATCCAATATTTTATGATTTTTCAATATATGATTTAGAGTTGGGGCTACCGAACACTACATTCCAAGACCCAACGTGATAATCTCTCTCTCTCTCTCTCTCATGACTAGGTAAATCCCAAATCAATTTAGATTTTAGATTTTGTCTGCCATATCTTTGTTTAATTAAAATGTCGTTAAACTTGAACATGATTATACTGCCAAAAATTAATTAATTCCTCCTGTGTTAGAAAAAAGCGATAATTGTATTCATAAATTAGTCACAAGGATCATCAACCACAAAGACAAATACAAATGCCCACAAAAAAATAATACAAATATAACAATATAGTAACCACATAAGGTTAATCTATATATTTATATATAGAGTCAATTCAACCAAGAAGCAACTAATCTAAGTGGTTGTGCTCATTTCTACACATTTTATGGTCACAGCTTGTCCACTACTGTTTGCTCTAGAAAGAGAAAAATGAACTCCTTCTAAAATGAAGATGTGGCTCAATCAGAAATGGCCAGACAATTAAAAAAAACATTAAACCCACCAATAGGACTCAGAAAAACTTCCCACCCCACCAACCACTTGCCTATCCGGACTCCTCCAAACTCAAAACACGAAAGTGACACCATGGGAATTCTTTTTCATGTATTCACGTTATGATGGGTGAAATTCAACAAAGTAAACAAATTTCATATAAATTTAATGGGTGAAATTTCATTATTAGTTTACTGTTTCGTATATATTAAAAAAATTCAAAAGGGTCCTATAAGTAACACTTCAACATTCAAACACCCCTCACCTCTCTCTCCTCTCTCCGTCTCTAGTCTCAGAGCTAAGCTATGACTATCTCGTCTCTTCTTCAAAACCCCTTTGAAATGATCACTTCTCCTTCTTTTTTCGTCAATTTACTCCGTCTCCACCAACAAGAAGCCCGTTTCCATGCGATGAAAGCTGCAGAGGTTGAAGAAAGCAGTAACAAACAAGAAAGGGTTCATTCACGCCCAATCAATCGACCCTCTTCAGCTGCTTTCATGTCACCAAATGCCAGTCGACTCTACTCGGTTGCAGTAACCAAACGGCACAAACAGTACCACAAGCTTGAGCCCAGAGAGGGTCTTTTTGTCTTCGATCCCCGTCAACGGCCTGAGCCGAGAAGATGCAATCGCTGCAAGCTCGGCCTTCCGCTTGAACATGGACTTACACAGCAGCAATAGTGGCCACCAACTCGAAGGCTATCTTCTTAATGTATTTCTGTTTAAAAAAATGACATGATTTTTATACTCTTTTTTTGTCCACTTATAATTTTGAGCTGATTATATGTTATAGTAAAAAAAATATTAAAAAATAAAAGGGAAAGTAGACAAATAAAAAAAGTTAAACAAAAAAAAATCAGTTGTGATTTTTCCTGCTGCTGACGTCCTTTTTCATGTGTACTTGGATTTAGTGGCAAATTCAGAATTCGAATCAAATAGGCGAAATTTATTTTAAAAATTCAAAAATAAGAGTGAATTTCATTCATAAAAATAAAAAGATACACATAGTTATGCGATAACGTAATGAGCCTTACATTCAAATATGCATTTCAATTCATAAATAAAAGTTTAACAAAAAAAACTAAAAAAAACAAATAAATGAGATTGCCTCTTATTTTAAGGAAGGCTAGAGTTTTGCACTTTCTTAATTTTATAATTTTTATGAGCCGCTATCTTTGACTTTCCCTCATAGCTAGCTCAGTCAACCCTCATTCAGCAATCGGTGTCCTCCTTTTCCTTGCTGTGAGGGAAAAGGATGTCGTCACTGATTTTATTTTGAATGACGTGCCACGTCACCTATAACTCAAACTTGGTACACAATTTCAAATTCATAGCATTTTTCTTTGGCTTTTATATGATGAGTAGAGTAAGAGAGGCATTAGATTCTATTCGCTTCCGTCACTCAACGTGGTTTCTTTTATTTTTAATAAAATAATCATTATTTTTGGAGTTTATTAACTCGAGTGGTTAACTCAATCAAGACTCAAGAGAATCGTTGTATTCAAAAGTTGTTAAAATCAAATGTGCCCCGAGTCCGCAGTGCATTAGGAGGTGACTCAGTTGAGTTAACTCATAACTTGTTGGTTGCCATTTGCTCACCCCCTAAACCAACCGGCGTGCCAAAGTCAAAGGAGACGATATAATAACTTTGGAGGCGTAACTCGCAGCAAACAAAAACTTGCTTCGACTCACATCTCACTAAATTTCCTTTTTTCCTATTCTGATTTTACCCTCCGCAGCCCTATGCTCTTAGCCTCTCCATCACCATCGGACGCGTGGAGTGAGACAAAGTGAGAACTGGCTAGCATCCTCCCCTTATATTATATATATCCCAAATTTCCAAAACGAACGCCTCATCTTTCTCCTTCCCTTCATCCCGACATTATTCATCCCTTGAAGCAACTATGTCGTCGTCTTCTCCAATTGCTCCCTCTATTTGCCACAACTTGGCCGAAACGCTACTCAAACAACTCCGATATGATCCGCTTGCCCTCTACCCCGAAATGAACCATGACCTCGTAGCGGGTAACCCGGTTGCCCGTGCACCCGAGCCTTTGGCCGCAGCCTTCGGACCCAAGTCAAAAACCGGTGACCCGGTTGACCGTAGTGCCAAAACAACCCGATACTACATGGTCCTCCTGACCGCCGGAGACAAGGCTCTTAACCCAGAAAGCATCCTGGTGATGGACGTCACCGACCCGATTCCGAAGGGATGTATGGTCAAAGCTCGCGCCTTTTGCTCCGGTGTCGCCTTCAACTTCAATTTCTCGGCGGCGGACAAGTTCGACTTCATGAAACTTTGCGTGATATCAAGTGATGATGGAGACCGCACGATGATTGATCTGGATCGGGTCAGTAACTCCGAGATGCCCGACCCGAACATGATACACAGCCTGGCGAGTTCGGCGGCGATGAAGGCACTGGTGTCGTCCGCGAAGGAGATCAACCTCGCCGAATTTGTGGGTCGTGTGGGTGACTACGTGGCCACCAAATTCGGCGAGGAGAAGAAAACCGAGTACCTGAAGATGTTGACTTCCAGTGGACTCGGAAGTTTGGACTCGGTGGAGATATGGCACATGTTGACTCTACAAGACCGAGTTATGGAGGCAGTGATGGAAAGCGTCCGAGTCGGGCTGTTTATGAAAATGCCCATAACCATTGACATGCCAATGCCATCCACCGCCTCCATGACCCACCCAACTCCGCGGCCATTGGGGTGGAAGGTGGGTTGCTCTTCAGCTAAGGGGTTGAAGCACAGGCCTTGCATTCCAGACCTCAATCAAGTTGCAGTGGACCTACTGGTATATATATATATATATATATTCTCTGTTTTTGTGTGTAAACATATATACATTTTTGCATATGAATCCTTATGACATGATAACTTCAGGAGGAGGAGGAGGAGGAGGATGAGGAGGAGACTGATAAATGTAGTGTTGTTGGTGAGGTGGAGGGAAGCAATGCCAAGAAAAGGAAGGTGGAGGAGGCTGCTGGAGAAGAAGCACAGGCTGAGGGGACCAAAACAGCTGACTGATGAACCACCATAATGAGTTTGATGGTTTAATTTTGCACTTGCTCAGTTGAGTAATTTTTGTTTGGTGTGCTTGAAGCTGACTAGCTAGAACAGAAAACAAAAAGAAAACAAAAAGAAAAAAGTAGCTAGCAGCTTAGTGTTATATGTTTGGATATTTTATAAATAATAGCTGAGCAGATTTTCGGTGTGCCACTCACTTGTTACTTGCATATTGAATGGTTTTATTATGAGGTTGACGATGAAACAATAACTTTTTGAGTAATAATGGGAGGAAAATCACATTTTGTATCACGTTTGAATATAAAATAATGAGGGATCCGCCACCGCTTCCCTCTCTCCCTCTTCCTCTCCTCTCCCCATCACCGCTCCACTCCCTCCTCCTTTGAGATGATGTCTACAGTCTATGGTCAACGGTAGTTGCGGGGTCATAACACTGCTCCTTGCATCACCAGCCCCGACCACCTCCATAACCTCTTATAGAAGGACCATTATACCGCGATGATGTTGATCATGATATGGGTCTTGATCAAGCAGATCTGCAGTTGTTATTATATGTGTGCTGACCAAAAAGCCAATGAGGAGGGAGTCTTGTGGCGGCGAAGAGGCGATGGATCCATCGGCTGCAAAGGCCGGCAGAGTGCCGAGGATGGGGAGGAGAGGAAGGAAGGAGGGAGATATGGAATTTGGGGAGGTCGACAGACAACGTGAAAACTGAAGAGTCTCTAATTCAGTAGGGTTTAGGTTTTTTTAATTAATGAAGATAATAAGAAATTGATATGTCAATAAATAAATAAATAAATATATATATACGTATAATTTTAATGAGTTGGATGTCCACCCATATGATATGCCAATATTGCTTGTCTCATGCTCCTCATCTTTGTTATTGTATGCACATAAACACCTCTGCAGCACACTCAAAAGAATGGAAGTAATCAAGATGAAGGAAGGTGAAAGAAAAAAGAAGAAGAAAAGAAGCAGGAAGCAGGATGTTTTTCTTTTTAAGAGATTCAAATTTTATTATCTGATAAAAGGAAAACCATCTCTCAACCAAGCGAGTTGTGAGCTTTGTTTCTTATTCTTAGAGTATTTATACAAGGGATTTCTCAACCACCAAAAAATTTATATTATTATCACTGCTTGTATATTTTCCATGAGCTTTCAAATTAATTATCGCTGGTCCCCCAATAATTTTGTGACTTTTGTCGATACGTAACAAAATGTCAAAAAACAAAACAGAAAAGTCAACAAAAGTCGCTCTCTAAATAAAAATAATAGAGGAAGGCTACTTTTCAATTGCGTGACAAGACAAGCAGGCCCTCCTCTAACTTTTATCAAAGAAAAATAAAATCTCCAAAAAGTCCTAGCCAATATCAAATAAGATCTGACCTGTACCACGTTTCGCGGCACAATCTCAGCCGTCGATTACGTGTTCGGTGGGTAGCCGCTGGTTGAAGAAAACGATGGGGGGTTGGATTGACAAGGACAGAAAGCATTAGATCCACCGCCACTTAATTGTCTCCTTCACAAAGCGAATCGGTCCAGGTTGGCTGCCGAATCTGTGGAAATTGCATCCAGAACTTCTGAGTAAGTCATGCTTTCCAAACGGTTGACTCAATTTTCGCATATTTATGTAGAGTAGATTTGGATTTTTAAGTACATCAGTTGAGGGTTTTCTCGGAGAAACTTTATCTTCAATTTCGAATTCAGCTGTTCGTTAATTGTCCTGAAATTTCTAGCATGCCAAGCTCTTCTAAATACCGAGTGATACCATCGATTGGCAATCATCATGACCAACCTGATCATTTTAGGAAGGATCGCTTCATGGATGATGCTAATGGTTCATGCAAAGGGAAGAATTTAGAATGTGTATGTAGTGAAAGGAATTTGAGGAGAAAATTGGATGACGAGGATGATGGGACCAATTGTTCGCAAGATGCTTGTTATGCAGGTTACTAATCAGTTTGTCAATTTGATGTCTATGTCTGTGTTTCATGGTATATGGTATGGTATGGTGAGTTTTCATTTTGGGAGCTGAAATATATTTAACATAGGCCTCCTTTATAGGTAGCCAAAGTAAGGCACAAATTACAACCAGCAAGTGTGTGGAAGTTGAGGTTTCAACAGGCTCAAGTTCAAGTTCAAGTTTAGTAGATATTTCTTTAGGTGCTCATGAGGATGCCCCTCTGTCTACCCAAGGAAGACTAGAGAGCAGAGATGATCTTCATGATGTTCAGAATATAAGTACTATCTCAGGTATCTCAAGCTTTGCGCCACAATATATAAATGTTTTCAGCCCGTCCACGCATTGTCAAATGGTTTTGGGATGGATGCTTTTACTTTAAAATGGTATCAGCGCAGATGAATCCAAATGTAAGGCCCTGTGGCCGCATATGCTTCATGTCACGCAATATAATTAACGACATGTTTCGTTTAGTCCCGTTGCACGTTAGGATTGTGTTGGCTAGTATAGAATTCCATGCCGGGAAAATAAAGCTTCCCATAATGAGATATAACATCTTAAGTCTCTCCACCTGCTGTCATGTGATTTTGGGTCGGATTGTCTAATTTTAACATGGTATCATATTGTGCAATCCGCATGTAATACCATATGCTCGCATTGGCTTCATGTCAATCAATAATGATGACGACGTGTTCGCCTCTGCCCCACCATACGCAAGGGTCGTGTTCGTGAGTATAGAATTTCACGTCGTGAATTCTAAGCATTACATAACAATACTTAAAATGTTAAGCCTCTATGGTATCATAGGGGCCTATCCACAAGTAAGGTCATATGGCCATATATGCTTCCCGTCAGTCAATGTAATTGATGACGTGGTTACCTTAGTCCCACCTTATGTTGGGGCATGCTTGTGTGTGTAAAATTGCACATTGGGAATTTAAGAAATATTTTGCAATATATTGTACGTCTTCACTCATTGCCATTTGGTTTTGGGTTGTATGCACAAACTTCTATGTATGTGTTCCATTCTGTCTCTTCTATCCTAGAAAATTAACGTGTGCCTGTTGTGTTGAAATCCTGTTCTCGTCATTTGAGGACTATTGCAATTTAGAAAACGAGTGGTGAATTTCTTATTTCTCTTTTCAGGGAGTAATATCAGGGAAGGTGGCTGTGTAGAGAGAGTAAGCAACAGCCTATCATCAGATAGGACAAATAAGGTATGTTCTCATGTTTATAGTCATTCTTCAAAACAATCCACTTCAATTTAGTTCAGTATTTTGGTCTTTGTTATATAACTAATTTTTCTGCTTGCTTCCTTTGGAATCTCTCCTTAGGGAAGTTACACGAGTACAAAACTAACACAAGCATCTAAGATGCAATGGCCAAAGTGGACAGTGTCTCACATGTTGAGTTTGTCGAGCATGGAGAAAGTGATGAATTATTACCGTGTTTTGAATTTGGCCGATAACTTGAATGATGAGGTGAGGGGGGTGATCTTCAGTTTTATGTTAGGTGATAAGTAGGGATGAAGGTAAACGTACTGTCATGAAAATCAAGTACATAACAGGCCGCGTATCCTTGCAGGATCTACGTTGTTTCTTGGAGGAACAGCTTTCCAAGGAGAAAGCTGGGTTGTCTGAGATGACCATTACGAACCGTTTAAGAACAAGACTCCATGTATCGGAAACAGTGCGCGAACCCGATAGTTGCAGCATTTGCATGGTATGCTATAATGCTCTCTGATAAACTGTCTCAACTCTGTCCTTATTTTGTTTTCTTGCAGCATTTGCTCATCTTTTGTTGAATCTCTGCAGATTGAATATAAGGACCAAGACAAGATTGGGAGTTTATATTACTGCTCTCATGAATATCATTCCGACTGCATAAGGGAGTGGCTTCTGAAGAACAACCTTTGCCCGATGTGTAGGGCACTAGCTATAATCCCAGAAGACTACCCCTGTTGGGATGGTGATGTGCGGTTACACCAAGCATTCTTTGTGCATTTGAAGCTTGCAGCTTGAAAAAGGTTATTCTTTTGCCCTTTGTTTTGTCAAGCCACATTTACAGAAAATTTTATGTTATATATATTTTTGTAAGTGTTCATACTTTCTCACTGTTCGTTATTTAATTTGGTTTAAAATTACAGGCTTCTGGGTTTAGGAGCTTTACAAATAAAGGGGTTGCTGGCTTTGATTCGAGGCATTTATAATTATGGTCTTTATAGAAACATGAAGAAAATGGTAATATTATTATCAGCTGCTGTACAATAGCGGACGTACCAGTTGAAAAAGTCAGTACGCTACTTAAAAAAGACCTTGAGCCTTTGAGAATCCTAATCAGCCTGTACCCGTCGCGCTTTGGAGTGTTTCTTCGAGTCGAACTCATCAAATAAAGTAATTACAGAAAATAAACGTAATATATCTTGTTTAAATGAATAGTTGTCGGTATGTATGGCAAGTTGTATTTTGTGCGTTGTTTGTGTGCTGTGTTTCTGGGTTTTGTTATTTTTATTTCTTTTCGTTTGGATTTTGAGTTGATTTGTAATAAAGAACCATCATTCTCTGAAGAGAATTCAGAATCGATCATGCAGCGTGGCACGCTAGCATTTGATGATCCCAAAAGAATAGCTGTGTGATGGATGTAATTACCCAGTTAACTACAAAAGCTAACAGAGTTGCATGAGTATATACAAAATACCATTACTGCTACATGTGGACATCCATTTCTTCTTTAATGATAGTATGAAGGAAAAAAGTTAACAAGTTCTAACTGAAAGAAAATTCACCGAACTCGAAAATGGATAACTTAGCCTTGATGAAGTGCATTATCAAAGATCAAAAGAAAGCTACAGACGTTTTTGTTACTGGTCTCTCAGCATGTGATTCGCATCACATGGTGGAACTAGTCTTTGTTTTGTAAAGGTCACATCACCATCATCAAAATCTTGGAGCTGCACCAAAACAGAATATAAAAGTATCAATAAGTATCTTACCTGAAGTAAACTAGTTTTTTTAAAACACTGAATATAGCACATCCCATTCAAATAAAGTCCCAAAAGTTTGGCTCTCATCTTCCTATTCATTAAAAAGAACCGGCCATAATCATCTTGCGTTCTTTTTAGGAACACCTCAGTGACAAGATCTATGACATGAGCCCATAAACTTTATGAACACTATAAAACAGCATTGACCATTAACAATACTTTTGTGACTGGTATCTAAAGCCTACCTCCACCAATTGTTGCTTCTGGCAACCGCTCAATTGAATACTTGTGTTGAGTGATGTACATGATTGGCACACCAGGGATCTGCACTTAAACAAGCAAAGTTACACAGTTGTTACACATTAACGTCGTAATGTCACATAACATTGTTTGAAATTGCTATTCCACCTTTCGGATCCTTCGCTTTAAATCTCGATCGCATGTAGCAACAATGTAGCACTTGTGCTGTACCCAACAAAACAAGGTGCTCAGTCAATATCAGAAAATTCTCATAAGCTGCAACAGAAATCACCAAAACACCACAATCTGGCCAGTAACTTTGCCAGTCTGTTAACAGAAAGAATATACAAAACAGATAATGCACAACCACTCTCTGCAGTGGAAAAACTTTGAAATTATAGTCTGAAGTGAACTGTCTCAGGAGAGAATATGCATTTTCTTTTTTCTTCAAAAGCCACCTGATTTCTTGTTAATGAGATTGACTATCCCAATTCTAAACATTACACGCAGATTGTGGTCGTTTGCTTAAGTACAACATAAACATAGAAGAATGTGAATGAAACGTGCGACAGTCCAGACACACTGTAGCAAATAACTATAACACAAATTTTAACATTCACGCAGTAGCAAAGATCCACCATTTTAGTTATAAAGCAACATCCATAGTTCAATGCCTTCTCAGAAGGGTTAGATGCAATTTGTGGCTTTTTTCCAACCTGAAATTTTCCTTTTATACTTAATTAGAACAAACTGGGAGACTGTTGTTTGCAAAAAGAGAACAGGGTATCTGTTCACATGGGCAGAATCTTGTGCCTCTCAAATGCCAAAGGTTGAGCTACGACTACTTGGCAAGGAAAAATCCAGCACACTTCAGCAAGTCTAGGCAGCAACTTACTAATTATACCACAAATTGGAAACTTAATTGTACAGTAGAAGATAGGCTATAAAGCCTCTATACTTCAGCCTCCCAACTCCTACCCCCAAATGAAAAGAGAGGGGGTAAAGACTCCAAAAAACAAACCGGGAAAGTGCAGTTACTTCGTGTAAATCATACCTGAGTAACCCTTTCAACGAGACAGTCATCAGCGTAGGTTCCTTTATGAGTGCAGGGTAGTCTCTCAAAACGAGGATCCTTGGCAATCCTGTCAGGATACAATAATTTCTTTGTTAAAAACACTATTTTTGTCACTTCAAGCAAACGAATTATCAAGGCTAATGAGTGAAGCTGGAGTCAACTCATTGGTTAGAACCCGACCAACAGAGAAAAAAAAAAAAAAAAAGAAAGAAGAAAAAACACAATCGAACAAATAGAATATGTAAAAACAAACAGTAAAAAACTGCTAGACAGCACAATGAAGAGGGATGGTAGTACAAGACATGCATCCGTGCATCCACCAATTGCAAACCATTTTGCCATGAAATATATTAGTAGAGAACATGGGAAAATACCTCAGAGCCACACGATATTTCTGACCTAACTTCTCAAGCTCTGCCATTACACAATCCGTGATACAAGGAGTGCCTATAAATTCAAAAGATACGCAAGTTATTATAAAACAGAAGAGAAACTGAATGATGGAACACTCCCCAGCATTCATTGTACAGAAAACCAAAATGATACTTCGGTGACCATTGTAAACCACCAACAGAGGAGTGTCTGCAATCAAGACGAGGTACTGATTTCTTGTATTGAAATTCAAGATTCAAAACCAGTTCCCCATAAACATTTAATACATAAAAGTGAATAAACGAGTGACTGAATACTCACACTTAGCGTATAGGCAATCCATCATTGCCTTCTCCAAATCCAACTGCATAAAGTGAAAGGGAAAAACATAAGTCAAACTATGCCCAATACATACAGCTTCTAACTAAAGCTTTGGCTCATCAAAAAGAACAAAATGAGCTTAAACTTATCAAAGAGTACACCATGCATCAAGATTTTTCAACCATAACTATAGAGATGCTTAAGATGTTTCATTCACTAATCAAACAAAATTCCAGGTAAGACGGCTATATGCATAGTATTGAACACTCACCTTATTCTGAATAGAGAAATTGATGAAGTTAGTATCGACCAAAACCCGGTAAGGCGGCCCCAACGCAGTGTTGTATTTGAAGAAAAGCGCCGACGAAACATTTGGCCTAAATTACAAAGACAATATAATTATGCCCAAACCAATAATCAAAAGCAACAAATTGAAAAAGACTTGATAAAAAAAACTTACACATTTCTTGGTAGCTTTTCTTTGGTGAGATCTTTCTTGTTTGGGTTCAAAACCCCCTCTTTGTAGCTGAATTTAAAACATACAACAAAAAAGAATGAACTTATAAAGTTTCCTATGAAGAAAATAGAAGAAATAAACACAAATAAGAAATATTTTATCAAAAGGCTCACCTTTTAATTGCTTTGGAGGTAACCACCTTCTTCATGACTGCGAACTTAGGGCCTTTTCGTGCCCTCCCCATCTCTTTGTTGATCACAGAGCAAAACAAGCTTGCAAATTTGGGATTGCGCAGAACCCTAAAACCTTTTACTTCGTCCCCAGTAAACCCTACGAAAACCAACAAATGGAGAGAGAGCTCAACTTCTCCCTTGGGTCGGTTAGTCTGGGTGGGCAGACAGGAAGAAGGAAAAGACGACGGCAATAATTGCTTTAGCAGCAGTTTGGGCTATGAATCTGTAACAGGCCCGGTTGAGTCCAGGCCCAAGACTACCTTGGGTTTTAGCGGAAATGCTATAATAAGGGCTTAAAGTGAGGAGGTTATTTGAGGAAGTCAAAGCTCACCATCAACAAATGTAAAGAAATCATGGGACTTAAATATTTTAAATGTTTTGACGGTCGGATCGATCTCCTCAAATAACCTCCTCACTTTAACTCCTCGTTGTAGAAGCTCCCAAGGTTTTAGAGCTAAACATTTTTTTACAGGCTTTGGATTACATTGTTTGGTCAACATATTTGACTGTGAGAATTTACAAATCCCCACCATTAGATCGAAATTCAATGACTGACTTGAAGCCAAGGATCGCCTTCATCCTTCCAATGGGGATACTAGTTTAGTCAGTGGGCAGTTCTTCTTTTTGTTTTCTGACACTAATTTTCTTAATTTGATCTAATGGTATATGACTAAAATTTTGGTCGTTTTCTAAGGAAATTTGTAGTTTAAGTGATTAAAAGATCAGTGTGATCGAGATTCGAGAACAACAAGACAAATGGAAGATATCTATTATTATTTTTGAAAATCATACACTCTAAAGATTGTACTATAGTAATAACTTTATATAAGATGATAAGCTTAAGATTTTGACATCATCAACTTTTATTATAATTAAAAACGATGAAAGAGCATTACTTCTTTATTTTACTTATTTTAAGCCTTCTGATAGTCAGGGCTGAAGTTACACACTGCCTCGAATTTGAGAACTATAGCCACTCCTGTCATCGTTGAACTTATCATAGAGCATGACACCTCCATACTTGGGAGATCCCTTAACAAAAGGCAACACTTGGTTTTTCAGATCATTTGGATTCACAAAGCCACTGCCAGCAGCTTGACTGGAAGCCGGAAGCCCGACGAAGAACTGGCCGGCTTTTATGGAGGAGGTCCATTTGTTCCATGAGTTCTTGAAGGCATTGGGGTTGCTGGTGGTAAATTCACATTGACGGTTGTTGTAGAATTGAACCCAAACATAGTCAAATAGGCCAGTGGACAAAGCACCATTGAGATACTGGTCAGGAAATGGGCATTGTGGTGCTGCACTTAAGTAGACCTTTTTGCCTCTTTTGCTGTAGTCAGACAACCTCCTAGCAAGTGCATCATAGAAAGGTCCACCTTTCTCGATGTCGAAATCTATGCCGTCCAAAACGGCGTTGCCTAGAGGCCTTGAGTTTGATTGGCCCCCTAAGAAGTTGTTCCATAGGTAGTCTGCTACACCGTTAGCATCAGCATCAGATGACAGTCCATAGTTTCCTGCACCGCCACCGATCGAAAGCATGACCTTGATACCTTTGCTTTGGCAGTTTTTGATGCCAGCCCCCTCTCCTTGGCAGCCGTTTGATGCTGGGTTACAGTGGCCAGCTAAGTTGATTTCAGGTCTTTGGCCATTGCCAAATTTTGAGAGAAATCCTATGTTTACAATTTGATATTTTCCAGTGTTACATGTGTCTGTGAGTGAGCCTTCACCACCATTTTGACCCCAATAAACCACAAGGACCCCGGCATAGGATTGGGAAAACAAGGCTGGGAGAAGTAGTAGGAAGATAGTGAGAGCTTGAGAACAAAACTTGGTGAACAAGGCAGCCATAGTTGTTGTGTTATGAGTTTGATGCCAAAGGCTTATGCGGGATTAATCTATTTATAGACTCTGTAGGATCTGAGTTTTGGAAGATATTTGGAGCTTTGTTTCTTAGTCAATTTTGTGCACACGGGTTTATTGTGTTCTTGCCAAAATATAAAATAATTACTAAGGAGAAAAGTATACAAAGTTCATGTTTGGATACTTTCCTCCTTAGTTGTGTATTGGATAACACTATTCAGACATAGAAGGGTTTTGGAGGTTGATCCCCATTATGCCAAACTAAAAAGTTATCCTAGCTAGTTGTAAACAAAAGCAAGGTTGAATTACTAAACATATTGAGATGGATTGTCACTTTGTCAAAACATATTTGGCAATTGCCACTGCAATATTTATTTTGGCCCCAATAACGGAGTTTGCATGATGTAGAATTTTCCATCTAAACAAAACAATGTGAACAGAGCATGTGCTTGACTTCAAGTCAAGCAAGCATACAGTAATTGCTAGGAACCACCTAGCTAGCTGGTGGTGAGTGATTCTTTCGTCCTTTACCAAATTTTTCCACAGATTGAAGTAAATGGACATTGGACACAGTTTTTGGCTTTACTAGTCAAGAGTGCTAAGACGTGCCTGCTCGGCTACTAGGGATAGAATATCAACAGGAACCGGATAAGATATGCTTTTGTTTTGGGTCTGAGGATAAGACATGCTTAGACTTGAAGTCAAGAGCGAACCACTGGCTAAACTAAACTAATATCCTCGTGTTCTTGTTGTTTCTATAGGTTATTAGGATCGATTTTTAAGTTTTGAAACTCAATCCAAAACCTAGAAATTTCCCCTTTTTGATTGATTTTCCGGCCACTTCCCGGTCAAATTGGGGGTTGGCTCAGTTGTAAAAATTGATCCCCTAGGTGAGCTCAATCGTGGTATAGGTCTTGACCGGCGGTTTGGAGATTTGGAGACAAATTTCCCGTTTTGGTATGTAGTTGATCTCCTCAACATCATCTCATGTTACAATTATATGTTCCTGTCTTACATGCATGTGTTTGTCAGTGTGCCATCCTCGTTATATGTTGGCTCCAATAAATCATAATGCGCCCGGCACATGATTTGGAGACCCAAAAAGG